TGCATACTTAATGAAAACTCTGACACACTCATCCATTGTGGCCACAGAACCCGCTAGAGTGTTTGTGCCGGCCAGTACAGCACGTCTACCTTGGACCTTCACCATCATTTGACCTATGTGGTGCTCTCCATCACCAAGACCCATGGCTGCCATACCATCTGACACTAGCACAAGGCCTGTATATTTGGAATAAAATACCAGTATGTTATCATCCCTTAACACAAAAATATGGTAACTATCAAATTATCAACGATGTCAACAATAGGCCAAATTAATCACATGCCACCGAGAATGGCATGTGCAAACAAGACATGTCCACTGTACATTCATACATTACCTTTAGCATGCGTTCTGTGGGCAATACGAAGAGCAGCAGGATGAGTGTGAATTCCATCAGCTATGATGCCGTAGAAGACAGGCTGGTTAATTTTTCTACTTGTTAGCAAACCAACAAGTCCAGGATCACGATGATGAAACTAATGAAATAAATGTTTTTTACTTTTCAAACAATATAATGACAATCATGTAAATTATCCCTCTCATTCACGAATTATCATGGCTTCTAAAATCTATGATTTGCAAGCATTACTATAGTCTACAGAAGACGTGTTACGTTTGGTATTACTTATCAAGCCTGCATGTTTCCTTTTGTGTTTGAAAACAGAGGCTGTAGCTGTTATATTGTCACTAAATATCTGTTATATACAGTGAGACAGAAAATTATAGAATTTCTACCATTTTTCATTTATTGAAAATAAAACATAAATAGAAAAAATATGAAAAAATATAATTATGTAGGAAGAAACACAACACTAATATTCTAATAAAAAAAATCAATGACACATAAAACCCTGTACAACACTTTATCACTTCAAAATGCAAACATTTTTATTTGTGACTTACAGGCAGCATGGCATTAAATAGATGAGTGATAAAAGAAGCACCGCTGTTTACTGCTGCCTCACCATCTTCGAGGTTGCCATTAGAATGACCTGTTTGACACCAAACCATCATGAATAAAACACATTTTGGCAAAATTCTCACACAAAGAAAGACACATACTTTCAAATAAGGCTGATCACTGAACAGCTGACTAACACCAGTTCTATCAATTTACACCTGACAAGAAACTATTATTTCATGACCACTCATATCTAAAATGGTGCATCACAGCTAACATCGCAAAATTACTTACCTACACTTACAACAATGCCCCGGTCTGAGAGTTCCCTTATGACTTCCTTGGCTCCTGTAAGCTCCGGAGCTATGGTAACTACAGAAGTGTTATCGAGGCGTCCATAAGTTGACTCTAACTTACTGAAACCCTGCAGACGGCAGTTTAAATTATATATGATGAATATCATAACTGATTACTACAGTAATTCTGCAATATTCAGGTTTGTTAAAAGAACTATTAGTTATACCATATTAGCAATCTATGAATAGTATAATAAGCTATGACTTACTACAGTAATTCTGCAATATTCAGGTTTGTTAAAAGAACTATTAGTTATACCATATTAGCAATCTATGAATAGTATAATAAGCTATGAATTACTACAGTAATTCTGCAATATCCAGGTTTGTTATAAGAACTATTAGTTATACCATATCAGCAATCTACGAATAGTATAATAAGCGTTGAAAAGCACGAGACTCATTCAGTACATCCGAGTAATGTACGTTTTCCTTCCAATAGTATGCTCACCTGGTCAAGATTCTGTATGTAGTTGAGTGGATGGGCTCCTTTCTTCTCCGGGCTGATGAAGGGACCCTCAAGGTGAACGCCCAAGATGCCTGCGCCTTCTTTGCCGCCATCCGTTCTTTCTATACGTGGCATAATCTGATGACGAGAAAAAAATGAACATGAAAAAGATGAACGGAGCCTTGTCTCAAAGATAAATTTGATTCACTTAATCTTTTTCATATATATTGTACCTTTCCATAAGAACTTCACTGAAACACAAATAACAGAAAAATAAGTAAACAAAATCAATAATAATAACATGATTAAAGCAACAACAATAATAACAATAAAAATAGTAACAAAAATAATAATGATAAATAATAATAATAATAATAATAATAATAATAATAATAATAATAATATAATAATAATAATAATAATAATAATAACAATAATAACACTAATAATAATAATAATAATAATAATAATAATAATAATAATAAATAATAATAATAATAATAATAATAATAATAATATTAGGAAGAGCAATAATATAAAAAAGAAAAAAAATAATAATGATAATTATCATAATAATAATAATAACAATAAATAATATCAACAAGAATAATTGTAACAATAAGAACAACATAATAACAATAATAGAATAATAAAAATAATATAACTATAAAATAACAAAAATAACAATAAAATAATAATAGTAACAATGATATAATAATAATAATAATAATAATAAATATAATAATAATAATAATATAATAATAAATAATAATAACAATAATAATAATAATAATAATAATTTAAAAAAGAAAAAAATATAATAATACAATAACAATAACAATAATACATGATACTAATACTAATAATACTAATAATAATAACACAAAAATAGATGGAATTACTAAAGCCAAATACCACCTAGGCCTACGTCAACATTCGCCAGACAACCGTACCTTGTGGTAGACGGAATCGGGCGAGGTGACGAGCGTCGGGCAGAAGGAGGTGACGCCAGTGGCCAGGACTCCACGGGAGACGGAGGACACGGCCTCCTCCAGGCGGTCTGCGTCTGACGAGAAGTCGTAGCCGAAACCTCCTGCAAAGGATTAACGACCTTTTAGGCATTCATCATATATATATATATATATATATATATATATATATATTATATATATATATATATATATATATATATATTTATGATATACGTTTTAGGTATTTCTCTGGTTGTTTGAAGCTCTCTTGGTGGGCATCGATGTACTGCAGACATGCACGTTGCCTAAACATTCTGCTTTCTCACACTCGCGAGTGTGATACATATAATGTGCATATATATATAGTACATATACATACATATATATATAATATATATATATATATATATATATATATATATATATATATATATATATACATATACATATGCATACATACATATATATACATACATATACATATATATACATAAAAGTGTGTGTGTGTGTGTGTGTGTAATGTATGTGTGTGTGTGTGTGTGTGTGTGTGTGTGTGTGTGTGTGTGTGTGTGTGTGTGTGTGTGTGTGTGTGTGTGTGTGTGTGTGTGTGTGTGTGTGTGTGTGTGTGTGTGTGTGTGTGTGTACATTAGTCGCGCGTGCCAAGGGCCAGACAACGACTCCGCCTCCAACGCCTCTACAAAAAGCCGAGAGACCTCGTCCGCCTCCACACTCACCGTTCACCTGCACGTCGACGAAGCCCGGGCAGATGAGGGCGTCGTGGCAGTCGACCCTCACGTCAGCCCGGACCTTCTCCTCGAAGAAAACGGGCTCGGGGTTCAGGATCCTGCCGCCCCTGAACCAGAAGTCGTCCTTGACGATCTGTCCCCCTCGAACCAAGCGGCAGTTGACGAATTGGTAGATGAGGCTCCGCGAGGAGGAGGACGACCCCGCGCTCTGGCCTGACACGGAGGGCATCCTGGACAGAGACCGAGGAAAAGAATTACTCGCTTTGTTTTTGTTTTATTGTTTTTTTCCTTTTTTTAAGTATTATGTTTAAATGCATGTGGAGTTTTTTATTCATTCGTTTTTCTTTCTCTGTCAAATGTTTAAATGTATGCAGAGTTTTTTCTTCATTCGTTTTCTCTGTCAAATGTTTAAATGCATGTAGTCGTTTTTTCTGTCAAATGTTTAAATGTATGTAGTCGTTTTTTCTCTGTCAAATGTTTAAATGTATGTAGTCGTTTTTTCTCTGTCAAATGTTCGTTTTTCTCTCAAATGTTTAAATGTATGTAGTCGTTTTTTCTGTCAAATGTTTAAATGCATGTAGTCGTTTTTCTGTCAAAGTTTAAATGCATGTAGTCGTTTTTCTCTGTCAAATGTTTAAATGTATGCAGAGTTTTTCTTCGTTCGCTTTTATTCTGTCAAATGTTTAAATGTATGCAGAGTTTTTTTTCATTCGTTTTCTCTGTCAAATGTTTAAATGCATGTAGAGTTTTATTCAAATGTTTAAATGTATTGTGTCAAATGTTAAATGTATGCAGAGTTTTTTATTCATTCGTTTTTCTTTCTCTGTCAAATGTTTAAATGTATGCAGAGTTTTTTCTTCATTCGTTTTCTCTGTCAAATGTTTAAATGTATGCAGAGTTTTTTCTTCAATCGTTTTTTTCAGTCATATGTTTAAATGTATGCAGATTATCTCGATGATTCATAGTTAAATAGAATATCTGCTTATGAATATCTATTATTATGAATATCTATTAAAGGAAGCCTACATATGAATATCTATTAAAGGAAGCCTACATATGAATATCTATTAAAGGAAGCCTACATCTACCTACAGAATATCTATTAAAGGAAGCCTACCCTATCTATTAAAGAAGCCTACATATGAATATCTATTAAAAGGCCTACATATGAAGAATATCCCTACCTATTAAAAGGAAGCCTACATATATCTATTAAAGGAAGCCTACATATGAATATCTATTAAAGGAATATGGAAGCCTACATATGCTATTAAAGGAAGCCTACATATTGGAATACATCTATTAAGGGAAGCCTAAATATGAATATCTATTAAAGGAAGCCTAGCTATTTACTATCCTACATATGAATATCTATCGAAGGAAGCCTACATATGAATCTATCCTATACTATTAAGGAAGCGAATGTACATATGAATATCTATTAAGGAATATATGAATATCTATTAAAGGAAGCCTACATATGAATATCTATCGAAGGAAGCCCCTACATATGAATATCTATCCTACATATGAATATCTATTAAAGGAAGCCTACATATGAATATCTATAAAGGAAGCCTACATATGAATATCTATTAAAGGAAGCCTACATATGAATATCTATTAAATGAAGCCAAATGAGAGGTTCTACTGGCACCTCCTGGTAGGTATAAGCGTGTAAATTGAATGAATCGCATTGAACAGAAATTCTATAGTTCTAAGAGAAGGATGAACGTATGAACTGAGCTAATAATTGGTGAATGAGCACTATCTTGAGCGAAACAAATTGGTAAACAATTTTTTTAATAACATATTAAAAATTCACTTCAAAATAGAGAATACATGTTTGCTTCAATAATCAGATAGCATTTTTGCTTCAAAGTTGTGATTCTACGTTCCATTTATTATTCATTATTACTTCTTGGGTAGCCTTTACACAATGCTTCGAATTGGGAGTGAGAACTTATCGGTTCATGATCTAATTTTCGCTTGTGTATTAATTTTCTTTTAAATTCATCATCCAGAATGACTGGAATAGCTTTGGAAATTGTGTGTCCAATTCGCAGGAGCTGAAAAATCGTTGTGCATGCACAAATATATATATATATATATATATATATATATATATATATATATATATATATATATATATATATATATATATATACATACATACACACACACATGCACACACGCACGCACGCACACACACAATTGCAGTATAAATAGACAAATTAGAAGATACACCTTTCTCAATGACCTGCTGCTGTGTCTATCACAATCCCGTCCCTCCTAGAAGTATCCTCTGAATATGCTGTAAAATATGTTCAGATATTGTATTTTCCTCCTCATTATATAGGCTCCTCTTCGCTGCGGCGTGTCTATATCTGCCGGGTTGTCAGAATTGTGCGAGGCCCGACCCAAAGAATATTCGTATACTTGACATGCATGAATAAAGAAATAAATGCATATCTATCAGTCTAGACATGCATATCAACCGGGCAAATAGATAGTTAAATGTATATCTATCGGATATATAGACAGATAGGCCTTTATTTCTGCGTCTGTATTTATGGAAATTCATTGGGTCGGGCCTGGCACAATTTTACAAACCGGCCGTATATTTTAACAAACCGGCCGTATATTTTAACAAACCGGCCGTATATATCTTTTGACCGTGCAGCTTCGGTCCGCCCGATTGAGCCACCCCGTCATACAAGTTTGTGACCTTCCTTCCAGGTCATAGTGTCCGCAAGGCATTGAGACCGTGCAGCAGTTGGGGTGGCGCGGAGTACGCCTCGCCTATACCAACTGCCTCTTCAAGAGTTGCCTAAAATCCTGCCAAATACGTAGCAAGTATTTGTTAATTTTCGAAAAAAAAATAACGTTATCAAGACGGTTCCCCGCCCTCATTACCACCGGATAAAAGAAATCACGAGAAAAAGCTAACCCCATATTTAAACGAGTTTACCTTCTGCTCTCAATGTTCTTTCATCTAAAGATTGCTAAAGAAAATGACACCTTTACAACACAGACAAGTATGTAGCTGCCTACAAAATTCACTACTTTTTGGATTACAATTTCTCCCATAAGAAAATAATTTACTGACTTTATTAAAACACTGTATTCAAAGTCTGTAACGTTTAACAGCCTATCCACACACAGGTTATTAATAATCATAATTACAGTCACCACCTGAGGTACAGCACGGGTACTTTTCCAGTTTCTTTCTCATTTTCTTTCCGTACTTGTCTGTACGTGGCGACAGCATACGCAAGAAATGATTGGATTAAAAATAAAATATCTAATAAAAGTAACTCACTTCTATAATTTCTCGCCATTCTGAAGCCGATCCTAAGTTACGTTACATTCTTTAACTTGTGGTTCCATGCGCCCATTCGCTTCCCATCTGAGAAATCATGGATAAACGTGAATCCCCAATGAAAAAATAAACGGAGGCCAATCATGGATAGACGTGAATCACCAATCAAATAAAAGAAAACGGAGGCCAATCATGGATAGACGTGAATCACCAATCAAACAAAAGAAAACAAAACCAAACGAAGTGTCTGCAAGTTAGTGAGTCGAAGATCGGTGGGTCCACTTCTTCTGAAAAAAGGACTCAACGAATTCCCGCCGTCACTGCGTACATACAATGGGTGTACCGTTGATACCGAGGTGAGGAACCGTTAATTCTTTACCCTTTTATGACGCCCTTTCGCATATGCCAGCATCGAAAACTAATATCAATTTAAAAGTATATATCAAGAACAGAGTCAGAGCCAGTCAAATAGGCGTGTAAGGCATACTGTTCAGCGGTTGTCAAATGTAAACAATACGTATATACGCCCGTTCGCATATGAACCAAGCAATCGAAACACTAACAATATCAATTTAAGAGCATATATCAAGAACGACAAGATTGAGAGCCAGTGAAATAGGCACGTAAGGCATACTGTTCAGCGGGACATGTCCTGATGCGCACAACTTGAGGAAGGTGACCTGATTCTGATCTGCCGGCCTGTTCGGTGCGACACTCGCTCGTTCGGTGAG